TTTTGGAGTTAATTGCAGGTTCAACCTTACTGGTATCTGTTGGTTTCGCACATGCGGTTATGGGACCGCAGGTGCGGTCTCGCTGAAGCGATTGGAAGATGCGCAGAAGCGGAAGTCTTGGCCCTTGCCAGATTCCGCAGGAGCGGAAGGAGGACCGCATAGGCAGCCTCGCAGAAGCGAGCTAGACCTCGCAGGAGCGGAATTTGGAACCTTGGTCAGGTTCCGCAGAAGCGGAACATTGGATCGCTTAAGCGGTCCCGCAGATGCGATTGGGGACCGCAGAAGCGGAAGGTTGCCTTAAGTGAAAGGTCCACAAAAGCGGACGTTGACCGCATAAGCGGAAGCCGCAAAAGCGGTACTCGATCCGCAGAAGCGAAATGCCTGGCAGTTAAGTGAAATTAATCATCTTCGCGAATTTTTGAAAGAACAACATTTTGGACTTCGGACTAAGGAGATTTTGGGCGATTTTTGAAGAGGGTTTCGAGGGCTATCATCAGGTATGGATTCTTGGGCTTAGATTATGTTATTATTGTGTATAAACATCAATTAACACTGAAAACCCAAGGAATTAAAGGGTAAAAATGGGGTAAGTTAGGGTTTGAGAATTTTGATAAAAAAATAGAATTTGGAGGGTCAAACGAACTCCGATTTTGGTGAATTTTATATGTATGGATTCGTGGCGAGACGAGGAATCCGGTGATGTGAATTTCGTAATTTTTCAAGAAGCGGTCCCGGGGCTCGGGTTTTGCTAGTTTCGAGATTTCTGCTATTTCTTGGTTGTTTTCGATTGAGTATTGTTCCCTTAGCATATTGTGATGTATTCGCTCTGATTTTGGTTAGACTCGACGCGCGTGGAGGCCGATTCGAGGGGCAAAGGCGTCGCGAGCCAGGGATTTCACCGGTTCGAGGTGAGTAATACTTGTAAATGATATCCTGAGGGTTTGAAACCCCGGATTTGCACATCATAGTGCTGTATTGTGGTGACTTGCACGCCAGGTATGAGCGTGGGGTAGAGCACCGTTGGGGATTGTGACTTGGTCCGTCCCGGTTGTTTATTTTACTGCGTAATTGACTGAAACCTACTTGATGCTATCGTAATTTGGGTTGATTGCCATGTTTTGGGCTTCGTGCCGATTATTTAAATTCTTTAGGGATTATTATCACTGTTTTCATGACACTTAGCATATTAAATGATTTCAGTCCTGAGTTAAACCCTGTTTTGAAATGTGCAGTCATATTGTTAAAGTTTAAAGACTTAAATTGCATTTTTCTGATGTTTTGAGTTAAAAGCTATTACTTGACGTTGCCCGAGTGGCTCATTTGCATGTTCGGGACTGAGGATGGATCGGGCTGCACGCCGCAGCGATACTATGATGATATTGCGCTTGGGCTGTAGGAGCCCCTCCGGAGTCTGAACCCCCACAGTGAGCGCGGGTACCCAAATGGATCTGGCTGCGCACCGCAGCGGTCATGTGCATTGCATTGCATTCATGCATTATTTCCTGTTTGTACTACGTGGCATGACATTCAGCACTCTCATATCATTGGCATCCATGTTGTTCTTGCACTGTTTACCAGACGCCCTGGTGTTATTTGTTAATAGAGTGTTGTGCCCGAGGGGCTAACTTATGTGCGGACTTGCACTATTTGATAACGCATTCATATGCTTGACTGTTGGAAAAGGATATTTTCAAAAGAGGTTTTTAAACTAAACCAGATATTTTCTAAAGGATTTTTCACGGTCTTACTGTTTTCTAAAAAGGGTTGTACTGTCCTATATAGCATGATGGAGTGCTCTTACGTGATTTCTTGCCTCTCAGTTATTATTTACTCTTATTACCACTGAGTTGGAAGTACTCATTTTACTCCCTCCACCTCGCGTGCAGTTGCAGGTATCGTTCACCCGGTAGCGGGTTGTTAGCGGATTGAAGGTATTGTTATTGTAGCCGAGCAAGGTGACCGCCAGCGTTCGCGGCACCGGATGTTGTCTTTTGTTTTTCCAGAAATTCATTTTTGTATAATATTGGCCCTGTAGTTAAATCAGGTTCCTTTAGATGCTCGTGACTTGTGACACCCCGGTCGGGTAGTAATTAACAGTTTCTAATGCCATTAAGTTGTATCTTCTATTCATTTGTGTTTAATAATTGTTAGTGAAAGGATTTGGGTTAGTTGGCTGGCCTTGTCTTCACGAGAGGCGCCATCACGACCGGGAATGGAAATTGGGTCGTGACAAGCGCCAAAATAGTTGACGCTATATACTTTTTCCTGCCCCCCACGTGCTTTCCCCAGCACTCTTTCTTCTATTCTTCATCTTCTACTTCTTTCTCTCTCTCTCTTTCTTCATATCAATATAAATGATTTTATTTATTTTAATTGTGTGAATCTATTTTTTTATTAATTTGTTTAGAGAATAATTTTTTTATAAATTTAAGAATAATGTAATTTATAGTTTTTAATTTTACCATGAGTGAGTTGATTTATAGCAGTATAATATTTATGACTCATTTTTTATTAGAAGTATCAAAAGTTTTTCATATTTTTTTTAATTTTATATTCAATCAAACAAGTTCACGTAAATTGAACTAGAGAGAGTTTTGAGAGAGTTTTGTAGGCATTTGACTAGAAAAGATTTCAAGGTGAAATATTGATCTTTTGATATAAAATGTTGAGTTTAACGTTAATTCTAATATTTTATAGCATTAAATTATTGTAAAAGCATGACACAAAAAGATAAATGTGAATGTAAATGTGATTTAGATAAGGGAGATTTACACATTTATGCCTAGATATCATTGTTTCGGAGTCGGATTGTAGAGGAAAAGCGGTATTTGAGGATTGATTGCTATTCTTTGGACCGAGGTAAGTGTTTGATCTAACTTTGGCTTGAGGGAATAGGATTAGAGTGTTATTATTTGCTAATTGCTAAATGAATCGAGTACGGTGTATAGGCATGGTGACGAGTATCTATACACCGGTGTCTAGCATGACCGTGGGTCCTTGTATGTACTTATCCTGATATTGTTATGACTCTTCCGTGTTAATTGATGAATTCTATGAAATGTGAAGAGTATGAGGACTAATTATGAATTGTAAATTCTTTGGAGCGTTGGCTTGAACGATAAAAAGACTATTGAGTAAGAAATGAAAGAAATAGAAAGTGATATGATTAATCCCTTGCCAGGATGGTTTGAGTATATTGACTATCTCCTTTGCTGGGATTTAGCTGTTAATTGTGTAATTCCCTTGCCGGGACATTTCTTATTATTTGTTTATCCCCTCGCCCCGTTTGGTTGTGATTACTGTTTGGGTGAGGAAGAGTGATAATGCACGAAGGGTCATTCCGTGCCATGCTTTGATTATATTTGCACGAAGGGTCATTCCGTGCCATGCTTTGATTATATTTGCACGAAGGGTCATTCCGTGCCATGTTTTGATTATATTTGCACGAAGGGTCATTCCGTGCCATCTTTTGAATATTTATGCACGAAGGGACATTCCTTGCTCTGATTTGATTATAATTGCACGAAGGATCATTCTGTGCCATGATATGAGAGTTATCTGAGGGAAAGTACGAAGGGTGATGCCGTGCACTTTATTTGATTGCTTTTGGTGAGAATGAGAGTAAAAGCACGAAGGTTGATGCCGTGCAACTGCTGATTTTCCTGCTCTCATTAATTATTGTTATTGCCCTGTTTCTTACGTAAATTATTGACTTTATATCCGGACTGTACTCCCCCATAGTATGCTCCCCTCCCTCTTAACTGTTTAATTGCTTTGTTCTTTCCTTTTATTGCATATAGATATTGAACTGCACAGGTTGGTTTGGTAGTCCTGTCTAGCCTCGTCACTACTTCGTCGGGGTTAGGCCAGGCACTTACCAGCACATGTGGTCGGTTGTGCTGATGCTACACTTCTGTGCTCTTTTGCACAGTTCACGCTACCGGAGCAGCTTTTGGACCACAGCAGTAGTATATCGATCGGGAGATGACTTCAGTCCAGGGACTTACGAGGTAGCCTAGCCGGCGTTCGCAGGTCGAAGTCCCTTTCTATATTTTCAGTTTGTTTTCATTGTACCGAGACAGACATTATGTATTTTCTATTCTGACTTGTTTGTAGCACTCTTTAGTGGTTCGTGAGATAGCGACTCCAGTCTTGGGTAGAGAAATATTAAACTTCCGCATTTTGGGTTTTCAGTTATTTATGTTTTAAAGACTTCCGCTTATAGTTAAATGACTCGTTAATATTATTATTGTTGGGTTGTTATCGGAAAATGTTTAAATGCTTGGCATGCCTAGCTCCGACAGTAGGCGCCATCACGACTTACGATGGTGGTAAATCCGGGTCGTGACAAATTCTACCAAGCTTATTGGCTATTCTGATAAGCAAAAACGAAAAGAACTTTTAAACACGTTAGTAATCTTGGAAAAGTTTTATTTTCAAGTTTTTCCTTTTCTTTATTTTGTTATGAGCAATTTAATCATTATTTGACTCAAACTCAAGTACCACGTACGCTTCGCACTCCTTTTAGTTCTTCAGAATTTTAGGCAATTACTTTTTCTAAATTTTGGTTTCTAATTATATTGGACAAAATTGTAATTTAATTTTTTAATATTAATAACCCTTATTTAAAATATGTTGAAAGTCCTAATACAGTGTTTAGAAATTCAAAATTGAGTATATTTCTACTAATAAGTATGGTTGTATATATTTTGCATTCATATATGATTCAAAATCAAATATGCAGACATGCAATTTTGAACTGGTTTTTTATACTCAACCTTTTGATAAACTAAGACCAAAAATGGGTAATATATCAATTTCCAATTTAAAACAAGGAGTTAAGTCTTTTTTTTTTTTTTTGTTAAACGTTTAAACTTTATCAACCAAGTAAAAATATTTATATCCGCTAGTTCTTTTGGACTCCAGAACTAGACCTATCTACATAATTATCTGACTAATCAGTTAACAAAGCCTATAACAATTACATTGCCCTGTATGAACTAAGGAAAATTCTTCAGCTTTTCTAGCTCTGTATGCCACTTTGTTTCTCTTTGCCCTACTATATGTAATTCCATCACAATGTCTTTGATTCTATGAGAACTGGCAACTATTTTCCCTTGAAATCTTCTTTTGTTTCTCTCTGCCCAGACATGATATACCATAGCTGTGAATAGGAATATCAATATTTCACCTCGAGTTTTATTAGCAGTCCTTCTTCTCAGCCATTCAATTTCCTCTTCCCAGCTTCCAATATGATGCTTCTCATTGAGCCATTGTAGCAGTATAGCCCATATTGTTCTGGCATAGTAACATCCAAACCATATATGTTCCATTGACTCCTCTTCCTTTGTTGCACATAGTACACATTCCTTTGCTACTGTTATTCCCCATCTCTCAAGTCTATCAACTGTAGCTAGTTTCCTGTGTACTGCTAACCACAGTATGAATCTGTGTTTTGGTATTGCCTTAGATCCAGTTAATACTTTTTTCCACAAGCTTTTCTGAAATTGAGGTCTCATAGCAATATATAACTTTTTAATGCTAAATTTGCCATTGCTATAGTACATATGCAAGTCATCACTTCTATACTTTTCCAGAAACCAATATCTGATATCAAAGATCTTCCTAACAAGCCAGCATGCTTGTTTAGGAGTATTCATCCTCATGCTGTCTTGCCATTTGATATAGTAGCTATGTATCCAAAGGGTATCCTTCTTTGCACTAACAGCCCATAAAGTTTACACAATGCAGCTTTGTTCCATATATGAATGTCCAGTACATTTAACCCACCTGCTGAGTAAGGCATACACACTGTATCCCATGCAATTAAAGCTCTTCTTGATGGCTCACCCCTGCCTGTCCATAGAAAAGTTCTACAAGCTGAAATTATTAGCTTGAGAATTTTCTTTGACAGTAAGAACACCTGTGCCCAATAAGTCTGCATTTCAAAGATTACACTTTTCAGCAATTGGAGCCTTCCACTGTATGATAGTAGCTTAGCAGTCCAACAGTTGATCCTAGTTGTAATCTTCTCAATCAATGGCATACACTGTTGAACTGTCAGTTTCTTAGAGGATAGTGGTACTCCAAGACATTTGAATGGCAGTTCCCCTAAGGAAAATTGCATCTCTTCCAGAATCATCTCTTTGAACTCCTGTGTAACACCTGCAATGTATAAAGCACTCTTCTCCATGTTAGCTTTTAGGCCTGAAACTTCTGAGAAATGATGGAATCTGTCTATCAGCAATTTGATGGATACCCTATCTGCTCTATAACACATAATAAGATCATCTGTAAAGCATATGTGAGTAATGTTATTTCTGGAACACTTTGGATGATAGTTAAAGTCAGGATTATCCTTCAGCTTCTTCAATGCCATACTCAGGTATTCCATCACCAATACAAAGAGGTAAGGAGACATTGGATCTCCTTGTCTTAGCCCCTTTTCCCCTTGAAATTTAGTTGTTAATCCTCCATCTAGAATCAATGAATAACTGACAGTAGAGACACAAGTCATTATTAGCTCCACAAACTTGGCAGGCATACCATACTCCATCAAAATCATTCTTAGAAAAGGCCATTCTACTGAGTCGTATGCTTTCCTTATGTCCACCTTTATACAGCATCTTGGTGAAACTCCCTTCTGAATATACCCCTTAACCAGCTCATGTGCAATAATAACATTATCAAGTATGTTTCTCCCTTCTATAAAAGCTGACTGAGAAGGTCCTACAATTAAGTCCACTACCAGCTTCAATTTTGATGTGAGAATCTTGGCTATGATCTTGTACACTGTAGTGCAACAGGCAATAGGTCGAAACTCTTTGACAGAGTTTGGGCTAGCAACCTTAGGTACTAGTGTAATTGTTGTACAATTAACACTCTTAAGTAGCTTCCCAGTGTTGAAGAATTTCTGTACAGCTTGCTTGACTTCTCCTCCAATTATGTGCCAATATTCTTTGAAAAACTCTGCTGGAAAGCCATCTATCCCCGGTGCTTTTTCATTTGGTAACTCCTTCACTGCCATATCAATCTCTTCTGTAGTTACTGGGGCAATAAGCAATTGTTGTTGCTCTTTTGTAAGGCAGTGTCCATCTCTAGCTGTTGTAATATCAATACAGGGGATCTCCCTTGCTGAAGTGCCCAGTAAGTTTTGGAAGAAGCTTATAAATTCTTGTTCAATCTGCTTTGGATCTGATACTCTCCTCCCTTGTTCATTACAGATAGGTGAAATTATGTTCCTTGCCTGCCTATTTTTTAGCTGAGCATGAAAGAATTTAGAATTTCTATCTCCTGCTTTTATCCACATTGCTCTGGACTTTTGTCTGAGTACCTGTTCATTCACCCCTTCCCATTTTTCAGTCTGCATAATCAACTCTCTTTCCTGCTCAATCAACTGTTGGTTGAGAGGGTCGTCATCTAGCTTCCTTTGAGTATTCTGCATCTCTATTCTTAAGGTTCCCAGCTTTTTCTCCAATGAGTTCATCTCCTGGTTCATCTGCCTGGTTCTATTCAGCAATCTTTGTAGCTTAGTCCACACAGAGTACATAGCATACCCCTCGATTCTTTGGTTCCATATTTCATTCACACTGTCTTTAAACTCCCTTTGATATAGCAGGACATTGTAAAGCCTAAAAGGTTGTTGTAGATGATTCTTTACCATTTCAGTGTTTATCACAATAGGTGAGTGGTCAGAAATCCTTGGTAGTTCATATATAGCTTCAAGGCTACTATACTTTGTAATCCAAGAGGCATTTCCAAACACCCAACCTATATTGCTATAGATTCTATCTCCTGCATCCCTTTTATTGCACCATGACCATTGGCAGCCTATTCTATTCAATTGCCCCACTCCAATGTCTCTTATACAGTCTTGAAAATCCACTAATTCAGCCTGGTGTATAGGTTGCCCATTTATTCTATCATTAACAGAAAGAACAATATTAAAATCTCCTATGACCAACCAAGCCTCCTGCATTGTACTTTGAATCTGCCTTAGTTGATCCCACAGCTCCCTCATTTCATGAACTTTGTTCTTTCCATATTCAAAAGTGATGTAACATGAGAATTGTGACCCTCTTTCCTTCACTTGGCAATGGATCAATTGAGTAGTAATCATCAGCATTTGGACCTGGACCATACTGTCCTTCCAAAATAACCATAACCTCTCAATAGGATTTATCTGCTCATCTGAAAAAACTTGCCAATCCCTACAAAACTTATTTTTGACTTTGCTAACACTTCTAGGCTTTATCTTTGTCTCAAGGCAACCTAGTATAGTAATTTTATGTTTCAGCAGAAAGGCCTTGAGTTCTCCTGCTTGTAGGGCTTATTCAGCCCTCTTATATTCCAAGAGCTTATGATCATGGTGGATTTTCCTCATTGAGGCCAATCCCTTCAGTCACCTTTGTAGTGCGGCAATCCTCTTGTATTCTCAGAGAGCTATATCTATTGGTCATTAGCAGCTTCTCTATCTCATTGTCATTTAGGGCTCTCTTATTTTGCATTTGTACTTTCATCTTTTGCTTACCTTTAGATCTTTGTTGTGGTTGGAATGCCTCTTCTTTTTCAGCATTCTGTTCTGCATTCTCCTGCTTTTCTTGTTGCTTTTGCAGTTTCTCACTTGTCTCCCCATTTTGTGCTTTCCCTGTCTCCTGTTGTGCTATCTTTCCTTGCTCAACAGTTTGTGCTATTTCTAATTGCTCAACAGCAGTAGTTTTTACTTTCCACTGTGTTTTCCTCTTTTGTTGTTTGAATGGTTTCCCTTGTTTTTGTTGTCTCTCCTCCCTAGGCTGTTGCTTTTCTGTTGGTGCCTTCTCACAGTTGAATTCATGTTGTCCTATTTGGAAACACACTTCACAGAACGAAGGTCTCCATTCATAGTCTAGGATTTGCTCCATAAATTTGCCATCAGCCTCCTCAATTAGCATTTTGTCCGATAATTCCTGAGAGACATCCATTTCAATTAGCATTCTCGCATAGGATATTCTATCTCCTTCTTTCGTTAATCTCTCAGAACATAGGTTTCCCTATATAGCTTGCTATTCGACCTAGATTCTCCTTTGTCCAATATTCAACTGGTAACCCTGGAAATAGCACCCAAATTGGGACATTTCGTGTCATTTCTTTACTCATCTGAAACCTAGGTACCCACTGTTTCAATATCATAGGTCGAATATGAAATGTGTATGGTCCTCTTTGGATAACTTTGTTCTTATCATCTTCAGATTCAAATCTGAAAACAAAGTATCCATCATCATGAAGAAATACCTGCGGAGTTGCTACAAAGTTCCACACACCATATACGAATTTGAGCATTTCTTTGAAGGATGGATTTCCTCCCAGTACATACCCAATTAGCGTTGCTTGCCATTTTTGGGTATACTCCGCCACCTCAACTTGATTCAGTCGAACTACCTTTACTCCTTCTTTGATAATTGGGGGATAGTACTCCAATTGCATCCCCTGTTGTTGAGATCTGTTACCTTGAACCACCTCAGCTAGTGTCACCTTTGTTTCCTCCTGGTTTGAGAGTTGATTTGAGAACGTGAGCTTCCTAGCTACTCTGTTGTTATCTACCTCTACTGGTTGAGGCTTCTCCATTTCAGCACACTTTGAAGCTTGCATGACAGTTGGTGCACTGCCCATTCCCGTCATCCAGTGTACTAATTGCATTTGATTTACCATTTGTGGGATCCCCGACTCCGGTGTTACCATTCTTTCTCCGTCTGCCGCCTCCGGTTTTGCTAGCGGTGCCTTTGTCTGTGGTTTCCGTCTAGTCATCGTGATGTGCGTACGTTAGCTATCCCTGCGTAACGCGCGCCTTCAGAGAGAGCATGACTTCATCATTTCCCCTCCGCTAGTGAACTTAAACGAAGCCTAGGGAAGTTAAGTCCTATTTGTTTTTTTTTTTTAAGAATATTTGTTTCGGGAATTTAAGTTTTTCCCTAATATTTAGGAGATATAAATCTACTAAATTTTTTAACACTAAATTCTTTCTTTTTTGAACTATATATAAAAAGTCTTATTATATTATATTTATTGCGCAATCTTTTCCTTATTTTATGTAACACAATAATTTTATAAAACACAAGTAATATCAAAATAAAATAATCAATGGTAAGAAGTAAAGTTAGCTGTTACTTGATGTAGTTTTAATTTATTTTTTTTTTTATTTTATAAAAGTATAACCAGTTAAATCTATATTAGTAAAAATAAAAAATACGATAGAGAAAGACTAAGTAGTAAACTATAACTAATGTTGACACTTCTTCAATTTTTCTTATTCTTAATTGCAGATTTTAATCGGTCATAGAGTTAATACTCATAAATTTTATATAATTTAATTATTAGAGTAAAAGTATAGAAGAACTTACAGAAAGACTTTTTTGTGTGAAAGGTATAAGCGTGTATATTACCCTTTAATAACACTTCTTTCACAAAATGTAAATACATATTCTAATAAATACTATAATTAGATATAAGATAACCCTACAATTACGATTATTATACCCTATAGTTCAACCACAAATTGAACAAATATTTTCAAAATAACACATAACAATTGCATGTCAGATAACATAAGTTGATAAACATTCATATGATGTTCATAAAATTTATATTGATTGACACGTGTACACGCGCAAAGCACGTATGATTTTTATTT